GGTGTGTGGTGGGGGCAGGAGCCTCAGCTCCGAGCCTGGCTGACGTGTCTCCCTCCGCAGCGGGCTGACGCACGAGGCACACAGGAAGGAGGTGGAGCAGGTGTATCTGCGCTGCGCAGCCGGCACCGTGGAGTGGATGTACCCGACGGGCGCGCTCATCGTGAACCTGCGGCCCAACACCTTCTCGCCCGCCCGGCACCTGACTGTGTGCATCAAGCCTTTCAGAGGCTCCTCGGGGGCCAATATTTATTTGGAAAAAACCGGAGAGCTGAGACTGCTTGTGCGGGACGGGGACGGCAGGCCCAGTGGGGTGCAGTGCTTCGGCCTGGAGCAGGGCGGCCTGTTTGTGGAGGCCACGCCGCAGCAGGACATCGGCCGAAGGACCACAGGCTTCCAGTACGAGCTGACCAGGAGGCACAGGGCGTCGGACCTTCACGAGCTGTCGGGTGAGTGGCCCACCCTGGGCAGGGCCGGGGGTTGGCCTGGGCTCCCCTGTCTCAGCGGCGGGCTGTGCCATTGTGGCAGGTGTCTCTGATTTCTCCTCTCCCCCTCGTCTGCTCAGCCTTGGTGGAAACACTTCTTGTTTCAGGTGTGGCGGGTTTGCCCAAAGGGCCCCACAGGCGGCTGGGGTTGGGGGTCACTGGCGCCAGCAGAGGGGCCCTCCTGGGGGTGTGACATGCTGTAGGGGGGTGTGGGAGGTTCAAATTAAACCGCCTGTGAAATGCAGCCTTTCCGACTAGAACCACCTGTGAAAAGACTGGCCCATCTGCGTGAGTGTTCTGGGTGGAACGGCCTTGGAAGAGCAGCCTGCCTCCTGGGAAGTGTGTCTGGGGACTGTGGTGGGGAGTGTGGAAGGAAGTGTAGTGGAAAGTGTGGGAGCATGGCGGGAAGCGTGGGGAGCGTGTCGGGGAGCGTGTCGGGGAGCGTGGCGGGGAGCGTGGCGGGGAGCGTGGCGAGCGTGGCGGGGAGCATGTCTGAGCGCATAGTGGGGAGTGTGTCTGTCGACCGTGGCGAGCATCCTCCCGTGGTGGCAGGGCCGGTGCTGGGGGACACGCCCTGTGCTTGTGGACGGTGTAGCTCCTTTGAAACGGGTGCTTTTCCCATTCAAATGGCCCTGGGAATTGGCTATTTCTGGTGTCAGCTGAAGACCTTGAAACGTCGATTTTTGGGTGGGAGCTGAGGCTGACTCAGCCTGGAGCGGTGCTGAGCTATGATGTCCAGAATGTGGGGCCAGCCCCGGTCCCAAAGGGGTCTCATGGGTAAAATAAGCCGACAGAATCCCTGTGTGGCAGGCAGGGAGTGGAGGTGTCATGGGGTATCTGTGGATGCCTGTGCCTGGGGGAGAGGTCCTTCGTGGAGGGCTTTGTTGGTCTCTAGAAAATTCTGTGGGCAGACCCCAGAAAGCATGAGGTCCTGTGAGGCACATGTGGGCCATGTGACCTCGTGGTATGTGTTGCCTCAGCCTTGGGCCCCTGGAGGTGGGATGGGGCAGCTCCCACCTCTTGCTCTGTGAGCAGGCCCAGGGTGCTGTCTTTTGGGGATGCCAGGGCCAGGTGCAGGCTCCACACTGCTGCTGGTGGGGTCTGAATGTGGGGCACGGGGCCCTTTGAGCACCATCAGCTCCATGGGCAGGGTGGTCACCGTCCAGGGCTGTGCAGGGTCTTGGGACTGTGTGAGCTGGGACTGTCTGGACCTCAGCTTGGGAGCTGTTCCGGGGGGCTGTCCCAGCGGTGGCTGACCAGGTAAACAGTCTTGTGGTCTGTTGTTGTCACGCATGGCCGGGGGTCACTGGCATGATGTGGGCAGAGGCTGGGGGGCTGCTTCGTATTCCATAGGATGCCCCAACCCAGAGATTGATCCGGCCCAAAATGTCAGCCGGGCCTGGGTGGAGACAGCTGGCTGAGGGGTGGGCGTGCCTGAGGTGAGAGGGAGCACCAGGGTTAGTGACTAAAAGATTCTCTGGGGAAAACCAGCCGTACGAGGATCTGAAACGTACAGACCCACATCCTGAGCAGAAGTCCACACTTTTGTGTCCTGTGTTCTTGATCCAGATCAGGTTTCCATCTCCTTCTGAAATCTCTCTCAAGTGAGTGTCGGACCCCCTGCCGCGGGAGTCCCCGAGTCCCGACCGGGTGCCCCGTGAGCTCTGACTGCCTCTGCAGGGCTGGACGCTGATGTCAACTCAGCTGTACTGTGGTTGGTGGCATGCTGGATGAAACTTTATTTCGATCACCAACAGTTAAGGTGGGCTGGAAACCTGGGGGAGGGGCACAAGCCTTGGTCTGGGGGCCCCAGAGAGAAACTCTCTAGACAATGAAAGCAAGTCTGGAGAAATCCAGGCACCAAGTTCAGTCTTCCTGAACAGAGGTAGAAGGTGCCAGGCCAGATATTAGGAACTTGTGAGCATTCTCTCTGCTGATTTAAAGTGTTAATTGGTCTTGAAGAGCTGGGCTGTGGTCACATGTTCTGTGGCTTGAGCTTTGTTCTGCTTCTGTGTGAGAGTCTTAAAGGGGCTGCAGTGCAATCACCATCCCGGCAGGTGCACCTGGACGGCCACATTTGCACAACCCACGTTTCTAGATTTCCAGTGGAAAATCAGTGGTTCTGGTTGTCAGCAGGGGTGACCCTATGGAGCCTGTGAGCTCACCTTTGGGAACAGAGACTGTCTTTCCTGCCTCTGGGGGTGGTGGCTGAGGCCTCCAGGCCCTGCTTAGGCTGGGGCGGTGGGTGGGTTGGGAGAGGTAGTGGGGGTTGGGGCTGAGCGGCCTTGGGTTCCCATGGGGTCACAGGGAGGCAGCAGCCCCTCGTGAGGAGTGACTTGAGCCACCAGGGGCCGGAGCAGGCGTCTGGCCATGGGTCCCTCCTCGCCCTCCATGTGCTCCTGGGTCTGTAGGGCTCTGCGCAGGACCGTGCCCAGCACACACCAGGCTGGCATGGGGTCCCAGAACTTTGCTGCGTCCTGTACGCAGGTGCTTGGGTTTCCCTGTTTATGCCCGGTGGCCCTCTGCCCTCTGCTTAAACTGAGCGGACACGATTTCCAGCGCCCTGTGGGTGGTGGGTTTCTCATCGGAGGAAGCAGACCTGCAGGGACCCTCAGAACTGGGGACAGAGGCCCAGACTCTCAGGTTCACTGGGGCCCCCGGAGCTGGGACCCAGGCCTGGCATCTCCACGGGAACGGGCACAGGTGTCTGACCCAGCTGGACCACAGGGGCAGGGCCCTCACGAGAGGTCTCCCTGGTCCTGATGGGGTTGAGGGACAGGAGGAATCCGGGAGGCGGATGCGTCTCCTCTCCCCAGGGTATTGGCCTTTCATCAGGGGATGGGGCCCCTAAGCCCTTAATGCCGCAGGAATGGATCCACAATGTGGAATGTCGGGGCCATCTGGCAGCAGGGACGCCATCCCCTGGGCACGGCTGGCTCCCCAGCACTCTCCCGCCCATTCCTGCACTCCCGGCAGCTGTGGCAGCCTGCGGAGGCCCTGCAGAGCCTGAGGTGTGCTGATACCTTGGGCCTGGCACGTGCCGCCTGCTGGGAGGTGGGCGAGCTCGCTGTGAATCAGAAGTTCCAGTTTGTGCTGACTTAGGGCAGAGACTCCACGGGCTGGAATCCTGGACAAGAGAGGGTGTGTGAGCCCATTCCCTGCCCAGCCAGCATGAAACCTGCTGCTCCGGCGGTTCTCCTGGGTGTGACTGGCACATTTGTGCTGCGTAATCGGCTTGAATACATGAGACGCACCCATAACCCAGAGCTGGCCAAAGCACGGGCAGGCTGCTCCTTCAGGAGTATGGACTGGGCCAGGTGGGGGGCAGGGGGGACCCAGCCCCAGGGCCTTGGGATTTGGCTACCTCTGGGCCGGACCTCCCAGCTCTGCACCAGCCTCAGGCGGCACAGATGCCTTTCTTGGATGTGAGGAAGCCCTGCCGGACGGGAGGGGCGGGGAGTGGACAGGTGCAGCTCCAGGCGGTGCCCAGATCTGTGTTCAGCAGACCTGGCTGAGGCTGAGTGGTGCCGCTGTCCCCATGCCAGTGCATCTGGGAAACAGGCCCCACCCAATGGGTTGGGGATGTGGGTGGGGGCCCCGTCTGGTTCTGGGGAGCACAGACCAGAGGCCGTCCAGGCGGGTCAGGATTCCAGTCTGTTCTTCGGCTTCTCCCAGGGCCTCCTGTCAGGTCCTCCTGGCTTGGCCACATCTGTGCTCGGGGCTTGGGGTGCAGGCCCCAGTGAGCAGGTGCCAGGCTGGGCAGCAGCGTTGCGGACACACACAGTGGCGGGGGGGATGCTGCCTTGATGCTGGTCACGGTGCTGCCTCAGACTCCAGGGCGCCTCAGGGGCCTCCATACCCCTTCCCTTTAAAGAGCTGCCCCTGGCTGAGCCTGTAGGCAGGTGATCAGCTCGGTGGGCGCAGAGCCCCTGGAGAGGTCCTTGACGGGTGGGAGGAATGGGTGGAAAAGTGGGGAAGATAATCCGCATGATTTCTGGAAGCAGAGAAGGAGGGGGCGGATTTTCCAAGGCGTCCCGTCGCTCATCTGTCTTTCACTTCCTGCCTCGGTGGCTTCTCTCCAGCCACTGTAATTTTCATTTTAACCACCTCCCCGCTTGTGGAGAGGAAGGGTGTGACCCTACCAGCTTCCTCACCAGGAAGAGGGAGGGAGAAACGGAGGAGCCAGGGGGAAGGGCAGGGGCCAGGGGCCAACACCCCCCGGGCGCCCCAGCAGTGGACTGCAGCCTGGAGCCCAGCCGCGCTGCGCTGGTGATGGTGGCGGCCCTGGGAGGAGCCTCGGGAGCTCGCCCTGGGTCCCGGTCTCCACCCACCTGCGGCTCACTGTTCCTGGCGCCTCAGAAGCGCTGTGTCCCCCGTCACCAGCTGCGTGGGAGTCCCAGCTGTCGTGGTCACAGAGGTTTACCACCAGAACTGCCTGAGTCCTGCTGGCTGTCCTTGCCTGGGCCGTCCTGCCGGACGGGCCGGTGTCTGTCACCCTCGGAACCAGCCGGTCCTGCTTTGCTCACGGCACTGGCTCTCCACCCACACCTGCTGTCCAACCCAAGTCCCCACAGCAGCCCCCCAGCCCTGCCCTGCTGGTCCTTCCCACCCAGTGATGTCCCCGAGACGTCCACACCCCAGCTCTCCCCTCCAGGAGGATGGACCAGGACTCCAACCCTTTGCCGGCCCCCCCACTCCCTGGAAACTAGATACCAGTGTCCATGACCAGCAGCTTCCGCCGCCGTCACAAGCCTGGCTCCGTTAATAATTGTCTCCAGATCGTCCTCTGTGCTGTTGTGAAGGCGACTCCACTTTGTAAAGCTCAGGATCAGAACAAGGAGGTCTCCGGGGTGCTCTTTATTAGCTCAGCTGTCGATGGGAGGTCTCCGGAGGCTTCCAGCAGGCCAGGCTGTAGGCACTGACCCCCCTGGGCCCCACACCCCTGCCGTTGGCCGGGTGAGCCAGGGCGGGGTACCCAGGGCGCGTGAGGAGAGCGTCTCCATCCTCCCCCGCGCTGTCCGCTGAGGTCGCTGGGCTGTGACTCACAGAGGGTGAGGCGCCAGGGCTTGGATATGCTCGCACGCCCAGGCCCGTGGCTGGGCTGTGGGCTGCGCTGCCCCAGGGTGGGGGCCCACGCAATGACCGCATTTGCTGACCGGGAGGACGGGCTTTGGGCACCTCCCACCTCCTGCCCTCCAAGGCCCCTGGCCCTGGCCCAGCCCCAGCTGTCATGGCTGCCCAGGCAGAGGGTGCTGCTCAGTGCGGGGACCCTCAGGTGGGCTGTGGTCACCGTTCTTGTCACTGACCGACCGCCACCCATGTGAGGGGTGCTGGGCTGGGACCTCTGGCCCTGTGGGGCTGGGCAGCTGCGGGCCCGGGGGGCAGTCTCACCTGTGGGGTTAAAAGTGCTGCCTGAAATGGGAGCCCCTTGGGCTGCGTGGGCTCTGTGTGTCTCTCCCGGGCTCGGGTGGGGGCCTGTGCTGCTGGCCTCCATCTGGCCCCCACCTGCGTCAGGCAGGATGGGGGTCCACATAGGTGAACTAAGTGTCCAGGGTGGGCACGCCCCAGGGCCCCCATAGGAGAGTGCCTAGACCACTGGGCTGCTTCCAGGCCAGGGGTCAGGAGACCCCAGTGCAGGGGCTGCAGCGTGGGTCTGCACAAACCAGCAGGAAGGGGATTTGACCGGAGCTCCCGCTCTGCAGGGCTGCCGGGGGGCGAGGCTGGATCGGCTGGCCTCTAGGTGCCCGGCAGGTTGTGCTGGCTCCACAGCTTCTTTTTCTTGATAACTTGTTGGAAAGAAAGGCAGGAGGTGGGTGGGCCGGTGAGTCACGCTGGGAGGTGCCCTCACCCTGCCTGCCCTCACCATGCTGGCCTCATCCTGAAGGGTTAGGACCCCAGACATTCACCTCCACTCCCTGGAAACTAGATACCAGTGTCTGTGACCAGGGGTCAACATAGACCCGTGCTTGCCCAGGGCGCCGCAGACTCCAAGGTCTCATGGACCCCTGTGCAGGCCCTGAGGGTCCACGCAAGTTCCTGACCCCAGAAGCCCTCTCTGAGCAGCTGTCTGCACCTTGCCAAGGTGCCAGATATGCCTGCTGCTCTGAACCCCAGGGCCCCCAGGTGCCAGCAGCCAGCTCGGGCCTGCACTCATCAGCCAGGTGACAGCTCAGCCCAGCTTAGCCCAGCAGGAGCAGCCCGGCCAGGGCGCAGACATGAGCTTCCTCCAGGGCCCGCGAACCCCCAGGCAAGGTGATCCCAGCTCTTGGCCAGGGACCTTCCAGAGCCTTCAGAATGTGAAATGGCGCAGGGGAAACAGGTGTCATTGAGATTTCACATCTCAGAGTTTCTACTGAGTGAGGAGACTTGGGGCCAAAACCTGGAGGCTAAGAACAGGTGGGGTGAGGCCCTGAAACCTGCAATAAGAGTGAATAATAAAACCGTGTTTCCCGAGTCCGCCCTGAGTGTAGGGACGCGTGGCGTGCAGAGGCTTCTGTTTCACGGGGCTCACCCGTCTAAGAAACTGGGGCGAAGGGCAGGGCGAGGGCTGGGCCGGGAGGAGGCTGAAAGCCGGTTTGGCCGGTGCACGAGCCTCACTCCACGCTTTCTGCGTTCTCTGGGGGAGGCCAGGCCCCAGGGTTCAGGGCATCAGAAGGGGGTTCTGCCTGCTCAGGGATTCCCTTCCTGGAATCTCCGCCTTTCTGACCCTTCCAGCTGCTTGGAGGGCCGTTGCGGTCCAGGGAAGTGGGCAGCACAGCTGTGGGGGTGCCTGCCTTTTGAGGGAGCTGGGAAGTCGGGGTGGTCCCGGTATCACGGGGTGTAGATGTGGAGGTGGGGCGGGGGCACGGTTTCGGGTCAGCCCCAGGTGGGCTTTGCGTTTGAAACAGGCATGGGAGTGATTTTTGAGTGAGTCCGGCTCAGCCACACTGAGGATGTAAGCGGGCAAAGAGCATGAAGACCCCCCAATCAAGGCCCTGGGATGGGCCATGGCTGGCTGAGGGTCTGCTCTCCGGTCCGTGCCATCGTGGCCGCGGTGCAGGTGCCTTTGGTCTAGATGGAGCTGAGGGGTCCCCGGGGTGAGATCCCGGTGCGACCGAGGGCTGTGCTTCTGTCTCTTGCCCTGCCGCCCCCCATGTGCCGCCCACTCACCCTGGCCACAAAGGTGCCTCAACATGGACACCTGCCCCGGCTGGGCTTTGCTGAGTGTGAGATCAAGTGACGTGGCTGGCGGCAGCCCAAGCCTGCCCCGTGTAGGCCGCTTGCTGACTCTGCGTTTCTTCCGCAGCCCCCTGCCGCCCCTGCAGTGACACTGAGGTGCTCCTGGCCGTGTGCACCAGCGACTTTGGTGAGTGTCTGCCTTGGCGGCTCTGTCTCCCGGGCGCCCCCGCTTTGGGGTCTAGCGCTTTGCCGACCCCCGGAAGGGGACGCTCTGCAGAGGCCCAGGGCTAGGCCCTCCTCTGGCCCTGGGGACTGGACTCACTTGGAGGGAGCTAGGGGCGGTTTTAGGTGCCCGGCAAGCGTTTCCCGGTGTGTAATGTGATCATTGCTCCTCTCGGGGATGCTGGAAGTCCACTGTTTCCCAGCAGCTCTGCTTTCGGAAGTGCTTTGTAAACAGCATTTTATCAGCGGCCCAGAGCACCCTTGGACACTGCCCGCCCCCACCCGAGTCCATGCTTTCCACGCCCAAGGCCCCGGTGGCCCTGCCGCTCTGCAGGGGGAGTGTGGTGGGTCCCAGGGCTGCAACCCCTTTGCCTGTGGCGTTGGCACAGACGCTCTCCCGAGGGAAGCCACGTCCTGCAGGGCTGAGGCTCAGCATCCCACCGCCAAGCTCACAGACAGGCCCCTTCTCATGGCTTTCCTGGGCCCTGGGCGGGGTCTCCAAGCGCAGCCCTGAGGCTGTCCCCATGCCCACCCTCCCTCTGTCTCCTCACGTCACTCTCTCCTCTGAGCTGGAGTGGGCCTGTCTGAGGAGGGTGCAGGACTGCAGGGGCACCCTGTGTATCAGCTGTTCTGACTTGGAAAACACGGCTTTTAGGTTCTGTTTTCCCACTTATGCGTCTGGCCCTTGGTAGAGAGAGCACCTGTTCGCTAACGGAGTCTAAATGGCTGGGACGAGCCCTGGTGGCTTCCTGCTGTTAAATTGTGCTTTTCAGCAGGAGTTTCGAGCTAGATGGCAGAGTCTGCGGTCAGCCCCCGTTCCAACGCCTGTCGAGGGGGCACTGAGGGGGATGAGGGGGCGTGTGAGGCAGATGGGGAGTATGTGGTGGCCTGCGTGCTTCCCCTGGCTCACCCCCCACCCTGTCTCCACCTCCTTCCCTGCACAGCCGTTCGAGGCTCCATCCAGGAAGTCACCCATGAGCCGGAGTGGCAGGACTCGGTCATCCACCTGCGCGTGAGCAGACTCTACCGGCAGAAAAGCAGGGTCTTTGAGTCGGTGCCCGAGGGTGACGGCCACTGGCAGGGACGCGTCCGGACGCTGTTGGAGTGTGGCGTGCGGCCGGGGCACGGTGACTTCCTCTTCACTGGCCACATGCACTTTGGGGAGGCGCGGCTGGGCTGTGCCCCGCGCTTCAAGGACTTCCGGAGGATGTACAGGGACGCCCGGGAGAGGGGGCTGAACCCTTGTGAGGTTGTCATGGACTGACCTGGGGTCCTTGGGGCACTGCCTCCCTCTCATGAGCCACAGGCTGCGGTGGGTGCTGGAGTCCTGGTGGGGGCCAGGCGTCCGGGGCCCAGACCTGACCCTGGCACCCAAGCTGGAGGTTCTCGCCACACTCAGCCCCGTGAGCTCCCAGCCATGGACGCCCTGGCCGATTGGAAATGCTGTAAAATGCAAACTAAGTTATTATATTGTTTTTTGTAAAAAAGAAATGTGCATAGGAAACAGTCCTGTGTCGTGAAATGCCTGGGGACCCCATTCGATACCGTTCCTTAAAGACACTCTGGGTCACTGCACGTGGCTGGGAGCTGGGTGAAGGGCTGGCTGCTGGCGCCGCGGGCGGGGAAGAGCCTCAGTACCATTCAGAGCTGTTATTCTCATGACAGAAGTTTGGAGCCAAATACCTAGGTTTTTAGTTTTATTTTTGAAGAATGAGCATGGCCAGCTGGGGCCCTTTCCGCGCTGCTGCCTGTTTCGTTCTGGAGAATAAAGACCAGGGTCCGACGACCCATGAGCCAGCCTGCCTTTCACTGGGTCAGGTGCCCACGGCCTGGACTGGGGCCTCACTAGACACAGCCTGGGGCTCCTGCCGGCTCCTCCCAGCTCCCCCTGGCCACCGTCCCTCAGCACCTGCCCCTGTTGTCTCCATGAACTCAGGTCCTTCCCTGTGGCTCCAGCCTCCCCAAAGCTCAGGAGCCCACAGAATGTCTCTGGATGCCCAGGAGCTGGTCTGAACCCAGGCTGGTGACCCTGTGTCCCCAAAGGATGCGGCTACCGGAACAAATCACCACCCACTGTGGGGCTGAAACAGCCTCATGCTCTGAGTCCCTGAGGCCGCAGTCCACAGTCAGTGTGGACAGAGCCTTCATCTTCTCAGCCTCCGGGGGATCCACGCCTCCTTGATGGTAACCCCATTGCTCCAGTTCTGCCTCCGTGGCCACGCGGCTTCTCCCTGTGTCTGCATCCAGATCTTTCTCTAACTAGGACATTGGTCACTAGATTGGGGCCCACCCCAGTCCTGAATACATCCACAAAGACCCCATTTCCAAATAAGCTCACACTCAGTGGTTCCTGGTAGACGTGAAATTTGGGGGGACGCCATGCCCTAGCACAGAGTGTGCCTGGGAGCGCCAGTTAACCAGACCCAAGCCTGCATTCCCATTTATCATGTGAATCGGGTGGTTGCACCTGTGCAGCTGCTGAGAGCAGAGGGGACCTGGGAGAGGCTGGTGTGGTCAGTGGGTACCATGCTGGCCTCACCAAATGCTCAGGGACCCCGGGTGAGGACCGCGCACCGTCTCAGGGACCCCGGGCGAGGACCGCGCACCGTCTCAGGGACCCTGGGCGAGGACCGCGCACCGTCTCAGGGACCCTGGGTGAGGACTGCGCACTGTCTCAGGTGAGCAGCAGCTCAGATCTGAGGCAGCACAGGTCTACAGGCTCCCACAATTACTACAAGAAGCAGGTGCTTGTGGGCGAGGACCTGAAGCAGCGGGGCTGGGGCTAGGCCAGGTCCCACTGTGACTGGTGCCCAGCACATCTTTGCCAGCAGGACGTCACAGCACGGGTGCCCAGCCCACAGCAGGGAGGAACAGAACTTGCCTCTGGAACCCGGGTTTTCTGGGGTGGCTCCAGGGAGTGTGGACAGCCAGGAGGAGGCTGCAGAACAAGAAGGTGGGGTTCAGGCTGGCAGCCTCTCCTCAGTTGCAGGGATCCTGGGTTTGGCCAGAACCTGGTATCAAGTGGAGTAGAGGTCACGCTTCGTGGGAGGCTTCTGTTTTTAGAAGTGCCTGTGGACTGGGGACCTTTGGTCCAGAGTCTAGGAGACGGCACGGCTTGCCAGGCAGGAAGTCTCTCCGGAGTGGGGGCTGGGGCTGAGGTGGGAGTGGTCCTGGAGGCTGCTGTGAGAGGCCGCTTGAGGCCGTCAGGTCCTGTCAGGAGCCTCCTCTCTGTGGACTGGGAGCTTAGTACCACCAGGGAGTCTCCCCAGCGGCCTGGGCTGCTTGTGGGGGGCAGCTGGAAGGTCCCCATTTCCCAGCACCTGCAGCGCCCGGCCTCCCTCTGACGTGTGCCAGAGCCTCTCAGATGTCAGGCCACGACACACTCAGGGGCTCCCCTTCCCCACCCTCCCTCAGCCCAGCTCTGTGTCCTGCTCCTCCAATGCTGCCTGTGGTCAAACCCCGAGGCCTTCAGAGGCCTCAACACCTTTCTTCTCACCTCGTCTTCAGACGGTGCCGGGCGCCCCAGCCTGATGGGTTTGCTGTGTCTGGTGGTCACAGCGCCCCTTGGTCTGTAGGCAGAGGGGCAGCCTCACCTCTCCTCCACTCCCCTGCCAGGCGGGGCCCCACATCAGAGCTGGGGATGCCGGGACTCACGAGGGTGCTGGACCCAGCCTTGTCCTGCCACCCATGGGATGCCCCGAGGGGCTAAGGCCCCGTAGTCCCTGGAGGCTTAGGGGCGTCCACCTCTCTTCCATCCCCCACCAAGGCCAAGGCTGTGGGCACAGGACCCCTTGGGGTCCAATGACTGCCTGCCATGCTCCTTGGGATGCTGGGGAGCTCCAAGAGCCATGAGCTCATGGCGGGGCACGCCATACCCTGCTGCCCCAGGCAGGATGCCCCAATGGCCCTGGGGCCTCGTCCCTTTGCCGGGTCAGGACAGGGCCATGAGGGTCAGGGCAGGGCCTCGAGGTCCAGGGTGGGGCCTCGAGGTCCAGGGCAGGGCTGTGAGGTCTGGCTGCCTGCTCAGCTCTGGGACCTGCCCTCCTCAGGTGCCCACGGCCATGATCAGGCACAGGGCTGATCTACAGGTCCTCTGAGGAAAACGCGAGGGTACAGGTTGAGAGTGTGGGGGCTGGGTGTGCAGAACTCACTTCTAACTTTGAGGGTAGAGGTGGGCTTCATGGGGGAGGTGGGCTTTGAGCCAGACCTGGAACTCCACATCTGGAAGTGGCTTCCAGCTCTCCCTGAGCTCTCTCCTCTGCAGGACATCCCAGCCTGCAGATCTGCGGCCCCAGCTCCTTCCTGGGGAATCATGACCCTGCCTGGCACCCCAGGGTGAATGCTGTACCCAGCCCTGAGGGTTCACATCTGCTGGGGGCAGATCTGACCTGGGCAGCCAAGGTGGGCAGGAGGGAGTCCAGTGTGGCAGGTGCAGGGTGGCCGTGGGAGACGCTGCCCTGGCTGGGGCCTGGATTCTCTGGGTCAACACCAGTGCAGGGCGTCCTGGCTCTCCGGACTTTGCCACTGGAGAGGTTGGGGAGCTCCACACGAAGGCAAGGAGGCCGGCGCTCAGGGTGCAGTTCGTCCCAAGAGCAACCGGAAAAGCCGTCGGAGCGCAGTGCGGCTTGCACTGTTCTCGCCGAAGGCCTGGTCCTGCCCAGTCCAGCAACTGGGCCACCCTCCAGCGTGGCCCCCAGCGGCCCCCATGTGCTCCAAGAGCAGTGAGACTTGCTCAAGACAAGTCAGAGGCTTCAGAGCTCTTGGGGTGGTGGCTTCTCCCCCTTAACCTGGTGTCTGTCAGGCCCCCCATAAGGGAAGGGGGGCTGGCAAGGCTCCCCCTTGCTCCCAAAGTGAGAATCAGCCCCCCTTTTTCCGGCCCCCACTTGCCCCCTCCACCTGCCCTTTTCCCTGTGGGAAGCCCCGGAGTTTTTCCAAGAACTCTCCGGGTCGGGGACAGCCTGTGCCAGGCAGGGTGGAAAGAGGGCTCCTGCTTGTTGAATGCCCAGATGCCTCCACCTTTCACCCTGGGGTCCCTTCAGCTGATGGCTGTGAGAGAGAAGCTGAGAGCCACCAGAGCCCACAGGTCCACGCTCGTCCCCGATCCGCAAACGCTGGCCCGTGGGAGCTGTGACTCGGTTTCCACCCTGGTCCCTGATCTGCAAACGCTGGCCTGTGGGAGCTGTGACTCGGTTTCCACCCTGGTCCCCGATCTGCACACACTGGCCCGTGGGAGCTGTGACTCGGTTTCTACCCTGGTCGCTGATCTGCACACGCTGGCCCGTGGGTGCTGTGACTCGGTTTCCACCCTGGTCCCCGATCCGCAAATGCTGGACTGTGGGAGCTGTGAGTCAGTTTCCACCCTGGTCCCCGATCTGCAAATGCTGGCCCGTGGGAGCTGTGACTCGGTTTCCACCCTGGTCCCTGATCTGCA